CTATTAGTTTAATAAGCATTTGTAACTCTTAGAATGTATTTAATGAGGAGCAATGGTAGAAAATATCACTTAATCTAACAAGTTCCATTTGTAAAACTATGTAGTGTTTGAGCTAGAAAAGCTTGACCTTCCTTAAATTGAGCGTGTCAATGACATGGTAATTTAACTTACTTTATATGAACTATTTCCTTGTTTGAAGAGGCAGCTAATCCTCCATTTTAATAAATAATGACCTCCACTATTTGCTTATATATTTAGGATTACACATGAAGGATAATAAACATTGTTGTATCAAGAAATCAGGTATTGTTGAAAAAAATTTCACCATCCTGCTTCCTGCTATACAATAAGTTGTAGTCTTTCTTGTGATTTTAATCAAGTAAACTCCAATTGAAACCATGAACATTCTTATACTACATGAAGAGACAGACGCTAAAAACTTCTAATGATTTGGTGGGCAGAGTACCCGATACCTGTGCTGGTGGAATAATCGAGGTGTACATAAGTTGGCGGAACACCACCTTTTTATTTAAAAAAAGAAGAAAAAACAGAAACCTTCTAATGATTGGTATTCCTTTTCTTTTTCCTGATAAGTAAGAGTCTGAAATGCTTTAGCCTCTTTGGTGGAGAAAGAAGACCTTGAAGTTCTTAACATGAAACTCTTAATTTCTGTCTTGTTCTTTTTCTTTTTTTTTTCCTTTTTTTTTGTTGGGAGAGAGAGAGAGACAATTAAGAGTTCTCTGATTAAAAAAAAAAAAGAGAAGCTTCTTAACCATGATTACTCCTTCAGGTTTAAGAGTCAGAATAAAGTCCTTATTTTAACTCCTTGCTTCGCTGCCGAGGCTGATCAAATGACTTTTTTACAGTGGCACAACCATCTTCTCCTACGAATTTTCAATCGCTTGATATATTTTGTTGTAATGTTCATTCTAGATTATGCTTTCTTCTTCAATGTTCAAGTTTATTAATGCAATTTAATGATCCGCAGGACATGGGAACTTTGGCACCTGAATCTGAGGTCATATGCTCAGAAAATTACTTAGCATTGGGGCTAAAGGTATCTGGCAAGCAAAAATCAGGAAAACCCAGAGTTTTATCGCTTCTTTCAACACTTCTTGAGAGGTCTGTTCAGAAAACTGAAAGCTTATTAGAAAGTACTCAAAGAAAAGATGTCATTACAATATTTCATGGATCAAGAGCCCCCTCGCTGGGCATCGAACAATACTTGGATCGCATTTTTAAGTATTCATGTTGCAGCCCTTCATGCTTTGTGGTTGCGCAGATTTACATGGAGCGATTCATTGAACACACTAGTGCTCATTTAACTTCCCTCAATGTTCACCGACTGCTAATCACAAGTGTGATGGTGGCAGCAAAATTCATTGATGATGCGTAAGTCTGCCTCAGACATGATCTATATTACCAAAATTTTTTACCCATATGTTTACTCCATCTGGTCCATTCTATGTGACACTTCTTTTTAATCTATTCCAAAACAAACCACACATTTTTTTATTCAGAATCAATTTGATTTTAAACTTCTTATTTTACCCTTAATAATATGATTTTATAGTCACACTAATATGATCAAATGTAATCACAAGTTTCAAAAGCTTTTCTTTTCCTCTTAAACTCTGTGTCGAGTCAAACTTGTTCACATAAAATGAAATGGGGAGGGAGTTATAGATATACATGCTTTGAGATTTATTGTCATGTTGATTATTAATCAATTGGATAGTTGAGTGTTAAGAGTCGAACTTGAAGCTTGAACCCCGTTCCCACCCTATGCAGCAAGCTTTCCCTTAGGGTTACTAACACATAGTAGACTCACAGGAATTATTATACGCATGCATATATGCTGTTCATTATTTGCTGACTGCCTGAAGCTCAATGGTTTTTGATGTATTTTATTTAGCAACAGACCCCCTCAAGAGTGAGATGTAACATTTCATTTCTAGGAATTTGCTTGAATCTTTATGATGCTCTGCATAATTTTCAGATTCTATAACAATGCATACTATGCAAGAGTAGGTGGTGTAACCACAAAAGAGTTGAATAAGTTGGAGATGAAATTTTTGTTTGGACTGGATTTCCGACTTCATGTAAATGTCAAAACATTTGGAAGCTATTGCTCGCTCCTGGAGAAAGAAGGCACTCTAGGTCTCCCAATCGAGCGTTCAATCCAGGCATGTAGAATCACCGAGAGCTGGTCAAACAAAGATGATTCCACCTGTGCACAAATTGCAAGATGACGATTTGCAATGCTGAAGATATTATTACAAAGTTGAAAGATTCTTTTGGACGTGCAAGAAACTAAAAGATGGGTTTGTACTATATTGTTGTAGAAAATAGCCGTAGTAGTTTGTTATACTATATTGTTTTACCCATTTTTCCCTTGTGCAGGTGTTCTTTAATGTACTAATGTACCACCTAGGAGCCCCTGGCTTCCCCCTCCTTGTATTTGTTACCAGTATCATTCTTTTTCAGGTTCTGTGAAATTTCCCACGGATGTTGATTCCTATAGGGTTCGTATAGATTGAGGGACATGCTTGTTTACAGTAGAAGTTTTTTAGTGCTTTTGGACATCATTTTGTACAACCAAGTCAAGTTAGACTGCTGTACCTAGTAGAGTTTTCAACAACATACCCAATCTGATCCCACAAGTGGGGTCTGGGGAGGGTATGGTGTACGTAGAGAGACTATTTCCGATTGACTCTTGGACCTAGTAGAGTTTTGTTTGCATTAATGTACCTGCTGTAGCAATCGTTCACTTAATAGTTTTTTTTTTTTTGGG